CCATTGCATCAAGAATGTCGTTTACGAGTCTAAGAAGGGCTGACTCACAGGAGTGAAACTGACGATAGGCCGACTGATTCGTTGGAAGGAGATCGTTTCCGTTTACATGTTTATTTAGTCGATGAAGGGCGGCTTTTTCAATCAATTTGGACAAGAATGTCAAGTTGCTGACAGTATACATGAATGAGATAGAGTATGTGTTTTGAAATGTGTTTTATTGTAGGTTGATGCAAATTGGAAAATGAGTGTTGATATTTTCATTTTCAGAAAATGATATCATTTTCAGCAGTATTGTATTCTTTTCGCAATTGTTTATTGATTAAAATTTACAAATGTTCAGTATCTTAACTTCAGGAATTGTTTTGGAAAAATTTGGCTTAAAAATTAAAATTCATTTCAGTTTAGTTTTTAAATAAATATTGCTGAAATTTAATTAAATATACTTAAATAGGTTAGATAGTATAAATTTAAATATATTTCGTCTTGTTGATAGGATTCTGTAAATTAATTAGTGAAGGGAAATGTCAGGAGCTATTTTCTTCTTCCAGGGGAGAATGTCACAGATTGAAATTATACATTAATGGCAGCTGTGACTTTCCATAGTTTTATTTAAGCGGAAACATCGTGCACGCGCGTTTTTATTCGGTTGCGTTTAGTTTCTATCGTATAAGTTTAACTTTCTGTATTGAATCGGTGAAACTCAAAAATTTCCGTCACTGATGTACATTGTCGAGCTCACCAGTGCAATATCGTGAACACTGGTCACTCGTTCTTTGTTGTACTTGTCCAATTGTTTTGTTTGTTGTATATGTTTCTATGTGAGAGAGATATCCATTGGTTCTTTTAAATAGTCTTTACTTGTGCGCACTGTTTGCTTTTCCTGTCCTGCCCACTCTTAACAGTCATCTTTTTCGAGTCAGATATATAGTAAAACTAGTTAATTTAACATTAGATCTACATTTACTTTACTTTTTTGAATTTATATTGAAATAGTTTAATTTATATATATAAATATCTTGATACAGACGCTGTGGTAAGAAATAATATTAATACTAAGATATTGATTGTATTTCTTATTGATGTATTTTTGTATTTTCTTATTCTTATTTCTTATTCCGCGTCGATTGTGAATATATTGTTATTTAATTGTATATTGTTTTTATATGATTTGTATTTGTATGATGTATAATTATTTTATTATATTTTTAGACCATTTTTATTTGGAGTCTTATAAATACATCGAACCTACTATCCATTGTAGAAATATTTTACCCTGCGACGTTATTAAACGTTTTGCTATTGCCTGGCCAGTAAACGTTTTGTTAGAGTCTTGATAAAAATTTGTAGATAACAATGAGCAATCACTCAAAGTTATGATGTGAAGATGTGTTATTCTTGCAACTTCATTTCTTCTTATTGTAACTTTTTATACATGAAGCTTCATATTACATGAAATACATTTAATACCTCAAAAGCTTTATCAGTAAACCATTGAAACAATAAAGGGAAATAACGCAAAAACGAGTTTTAGGAGTGTTATTATTGCCATGCAATTGACTATTCCAAGATAAATTAAACCCGCCTGAGAAGCTTCGTGTTTTTCAAATACTTATTGAGTTATGCTTCGCGCAAAAAATGCATAATATCAAAGGTAAATAAGTTTTAATTTAAGATGGGAAGAATTATCACTTTTATGCACTGCACTGCTCCTAATGAGATTTATCCACATAAGAAGTTTCAATTTGATATCTCAAACACTTTTCAGGGTATAAAAATTAAATATAAATCAATGAGTGAGATAAATAACTAAAAAATTATAATGAGAACACTTACCTTTCCTGTGCATTGCATTAGTCCTTTATGACATCTATTCACCAATGAATATTAAGTTTATATCTCAAATACTTTTTCGATTTATGTTTCAGAGAAATATAAACATGTGAAAAAACAACAAAATATATAGTATGAAAAACAAAATGCATTAGCTAAACAATTATGAAAGGCATCGTTCGTATTTTTGCTAACTTGCTCACTGCAACCCTCATGAATACGATCTATCTACTTATGACGTTTCAAATTGATACCTGAAAGATACTTTGGTGTATGCCTTGACCACATGTGAAAAATAACAAAGGTAAATAGCTCAATATAATCAAGTTTTGAGTTATCATTTTGTGTACTTCACGCTTCCTCCATGAGATAAATTTGCCTTTGAAGTCGCAAGAAAAATAGATTTTGAACACTGTTTAGTACAAAAACGTGGGACGGAATGACGGACGTAAATAACGACGGAAGTCCTTACTACGAGACAGTACTTATGCGGCTACTCCATTATGCTCACCATTGTTTTTTTAAAAATCTGGAAACAAAGTGATCCCTCGGAAGCATAAATCACAACAAAATTACTCAAAACATTGCAGACTCGGTTTGTACATGAGTGATAAGGAAATAGTGAAAAATCCATCACGCACCCTAGGATCGGCTTAAGCGGAACTCAATTCTCAACACTTAATAGCGCTGGCATCAATAATCCCGAAAGAACACAAAAATATAACAACACTGAAGTGAAGTACGGGTCAACTTTTAACAGCTGCCACACAGCACTTGACACCTGCTTCAAATATGATAAATAAGATCAACAATGAAAGGCGGCGTTCAATGAACGCAACCCCCAAACGACCCAGCAACAAGTACGATTGAAATCAAATAAATGATTGAATAATAGAGAAAAATTTGTAACTGATAAGGAAATTCAAAGAAAAACAAATGAATGATTTAATAATAGGCCCACAAAGTCAAAGGGTACAGGGGATGGGGGCAGGAGACCTGGAGAAGGGGGGGGGGTAAATGAAAGAAATAACACTAGGGGCAAGAAGAAGATATTTACCGTAGACGAGAAAACAACATGGGACACAAGCAAAAGTGTCACCAAAACAGTATGAAACAACATACATCTAAGGAACACAAAAGGGCCTTGGAACGGTCAGCAGCACAAGTACTGCTGGGGAGTTTAAACCGGTTATTGGTGCGCCAAACCTCACTCTTAGCCGAAACATGTTCCTATAAACGAGACAGTGTAAATAAAATGAATCCTCGCCAAGTGAAATTATAACAGTTAGTATGGTTGCAAAAGGTTAAATAAGTAAAACACAAAAATGACCATAACAAAAGTACTCAATGTCCTAAAGGAAGACAGAGCTAAAAGAAAAATAACCTACAAGGGCCCGACAAAGCAAGGCAGAAGACGAACATTAAGACAAGTCAGTCCTTAAGGGCTTTAAGAACTGTCCACCATAGAGTCTTCCACTTGGTCCGCCAGATGTAATCAAAAGAGGAAAGCGTAGTTCCCAACTGTAAAATGGTTAAACACTAAACATGCAGTATGTCTTAAAATAGTAGGGTCATAACCTCTTTTAATAAAACGTTTAATGATTTTAGTAAAAACAGCAGAAAAATTACCATAACCCAAAATCTTGCGAAGTTTGTAAATCACATCGCCATAAAAACCAAGCTGGCTAATCCTTTGTCGCAGAATAGTTTTTAAATCACTATTGAATTTTTGCAGTTAAATAAAAAATTCCGATTGTAAAATTTTGTAAAATATTGCCGTAATTAATTAAAGCGGTAGCCCTGTATTAGAAGCTTGATGGTAATGAAAATATTCCGCTCGTTGAAATCCTTTACGTTGCTTCCTTCAAGCCATATAAATTAAAAGAAATGAATGACATCAAATAGTAAATACCGTAACCTATTGTTCTTATACCTACATAAGTTTCCTCTTGCATGTGCAAATGGACAACAAATTACTTTACTCACTTTATGTACAGACTCAATCAAACCGAGTCTGCAATTGTGTGGCAGCTGTTAAAAGTTGCCCCGTACTTCACTCCAATGTTGATATATTTTTCTGGTCCTTCGGGATCATTGATGCTAGCTTTATCGAGTGTTGAGAATATTGAGTAATGCTTAAGCCGGTTCTAGGGGGCGTGAGGGATGTTGCACTTATTCATAATCCCTCACAGACTCAATCAAACCGAGTCTGCAATTTTCAAGTAATTTTGTTGTGATTAATGCTTCCGAGGGATCAATTTGTTTCCAGATATTTTTACTATTTTCAAAGTATCCACTACTCCCATTTTTAAATGTGGATTGTTCCGTTTTAAAGAAGGTGCAAGAACGCAATCAAGATAGCTTACTCTCAATACTTCTGGCCATGAACAGGCTGAGTCGGGCCTCCATATTTATATTATGTAGTTTTGGGAGTTCCTATTTTTTTCTTAGTTCATAACAAAACTTTTTTCGACATTAATATGAAATATTGCTCGTTTATAGAGGACATACTTCGATTATCTTAATTGCTTGTTTGATCAGCGATGATTAGTTTCGAAGGCCACTTTGTAAGTTGGTAATTGGTTGCATGACATCAAAACCTCTTTTTACCAGCAAATAATGGCCAATTTTAATTCTCTTAAGTACCGCATGACCTGTACAAACATTTAAATCATTTGATCTAATCATGAAATACATTGATAGCTTCTTAGACACTGACAGGATTCGAACTCTCAGGACTAAGGATTAAAATATATATTTTCAGTAACAATAACCACTAAAAGGTCATACAATGGCAGTGTATACGATACTACTCAAGATATAGAATGAAAAACGTAAAAAACATTATCAAGAATAATGGATTAACGTTTTATACAAAGTGACACCAAAGTACGTCTTTGAGTAAATTAACAGCATAAGTCAATAAGATATTTGTCAGTCCGACCGGTTATCACATCAGTTATATCACTTGACAGGTAATATGTTAAGTGCGTCAACGTATATCAGAATGGACAGGTACTACATTAATTACTTAAACTTATGGCTTAGTCAAGATGGTGCAATCTAGCACATGAGATTGTTTAATCTTGTAGGCATTATATAAACTACATCACAATTATTTACAATGTAAATGTATCATTACGTTTGTATTTAAATACAGGGATACTTACACAAAGGATTTTACATACACTGGAATTAAACATGTTGCGCCAACCATGCAATCAACAAATTGGCTTAGAGAAGGCATATCAATGAAAAACGGCTTCCCCTGAAAAATGTTATGGATACAAGTACATGTATTTGTTGAATTTAAGATATCATTGTAGTAAAAAATACTGCCATCAAAAAATTTATATTTGTGTTAGTTGAGATTGTTTTAGAAACCAATTGTTGCAACATTAATTATAACAGCACCTACCGTATAAATTGTCGATGAATGGATAAAAACATCAGCTGAAATCATAATGATTACACGTATTAAATTATTTAAAAGCATCTCTATTAATGGTAATTGTGCAATTGCTTTACGTAATTGTTTTAATTTTACTTTATTTATTTTTTTGTTTTTATTTATTTATTTATTTATTTATTTAAATTAAATTTTGCATGTGTAAACTTCAATTTACAAATTTTTCGACAAATGTATTTATACATATATATATGTCAATAAAAGTATTTGTCTTATCAAAATAAGACACTTTCAGAATTCTAAATCTAGGAATGAGAAGCTACAACTGTACCTCGTACTTCTAAAGTATAGCAAAGTAATTCGTCAGACTCAACTCTAAATCCATAATGCAACAGCGCAGGTCAGCAGATGTAGAAAAATGCAACATTTTTATGAAAAAGTAAAATTTAAACATAAGTTTTACAAAAAAAGATACTGTTAGCAATAATTTTAAAATGATTAAAAAATCTTTCTTGAGTATTCGAAGTATTTTTAGTTTTCAATTTGTATTTGTTCTTTCGGTTCATGTCATATAATCTAAAGTTACGGTAATTGACGGCAACAAATCTTTTTTATGATTATTGTTTCTACAATACGGCCAATGTTTCAGGTAAAATACTACACATTTAGCAATTTCTAAAACTATTTTCACAAGTTTTTTTACCTAAGAAACCTGCAAAGAATTTGAAGTGGACAAGTTTTTGTTTCTCATTTGGAGCCATGTTTATTATGTGCAATAAATAAGAAAACTACCAATTACAGAAAAATCATTTGTAAGTAATATCAACTGCACGTATTTAGAAACAATAATACAACAAAATGTTAATACGGAGGAACCAAATTTAATGGATACTTATGAGACGTTGACGTTGTTTACTTATTATGTATTTAAATAACTGTAACGTTTTACATTTATTACACAAACAGATGTTTATGTGGCCAAAACGGCAAATCGTTCCTTTTAAACTGCCCATTTTCACGTTTTTTTCAGTTTTTGCAATTCCATAGAGAAATAGAAAATTTTAAACCCGTTGTTGATTTACAAAAACATGCCACCCCAAATTAACCTAACCTAACCTTTCTTTGCCTTTAAAAAAGTTCTGATTATGCATCATCATTCATATAAGTATACAATGAAAGCTCATCAAAAAGATAAGTTTTAAACGCCGTTGGATGCCGGAAATTGTATGGTAATAGTAGCAATTTGTATTATAAAATATGCACCCATACATGCATAAGAAGTTATCATTTAGTATTAAAGAAAGAAAAGCATTTAACGCTCTTGCATGTGTTACAAAAATAAGAAACAAATATCAACAAGTCAAAGGCAATGTTCATAGGAGGAAGCCTCTTAAACACACCAGCTAAAACAGCAGGAGCCCCCCCCCCCCCCCAAGAAGGCAACGAATAGACCGGAAGAGGACACCAGAGCATCGAAGGAGGGGAGGGACATGTAATAAGTGAAATTTTCTCGGAAATTGTAGAAACATAAATTTTAAATCATTTACATGAATATGCATCAGAAACTTTAATTTTATTTGTAAATTTTTTATTTAGATATCGGCTAAAATGTATAACCCTAGGTTGAATGTTGTAAAAAATATGTTTACAATTTATTTTAAAATGTGCACCTATAACGCGCCAGTAGCCACCATTTAAGATGTTAGAAGGAGTGAGGGGAGTATGTTGTTTCACACAAAACCCCTCCTATTCAACTGAAAATTTCTGGATCCGTTTCTGAACTATATTCCCGCTTTATTCATGTATTACTTCCCCGAATTGTATGATATTATAATTGTTTTATGTACAAAGGAAATTCAATGAACTGAATTTATTGGGGGAAAACATCTTATGAAATATTATATCAACCTTTGCTAACAATAATTAAGTTTTTATTTAACAAGTTTAATGAATTTAGTAAAATTTATTTATAACATATGAAAAATATAAAAAAAAACAGATTGATGAAAACATTTTGTTTTCAAAAGGGCTGGCAATAAACGTATGTTTTCGCTGTGTTTGAATAATGCATGTAAAGTTAAAATACATATGCTCGGTCTGTTCAATCAAAAACTGCACTGGAATGTGATAAATGACAATAATGAAATAACGACATTTTATAAAAGCCTGGATGAAGTGTGATCCCTCGAAAGCATTAATTACAACAAAATTACATGATCATTGCAGACTCGATTTGATTGAGTCTGTACATAACACCCTACGTTTATCTCACCTCTTCAATTAAATGCAGACAAAACGGTTTTATTCATTCTTTTTTTAAAGCCAGCCTGTACTCTTTGTGTGACACTAAAAAAAATTATTTGATACAAAAGATACATCAGGTTGTTCCCCCTTAACATATCTTTTTTAATATTTCTAATTAAAATGCCTTTAAACCTTGGGAATATATTGATAAATCAAAAGAACACTTAAGCATACATTCTCAATACACATTGCTTAATTAATTTAATCAATAATTATGCTTTATCTAGGTAATTTGTTGCCAAAATATCATTTAGAATAATGACATAGAATCTGAATTTTAATTTCTTTGGAAAATATTGTAGAATAATCAATGAATTTACAGAGATTATAATAATTTGTTATCTATTACAACAACAACAAACAAGAGCCTGTTGAACCGGGTGATGCTCCCTGACTAGTATTTGAACACAGAAAAGTATATCTTTTGTAGTTTCAGAGTTATGTCCCAGACAAAGTTCAAAGTGTGATAATTCCAAACTTAGGCAATGCAGATCATTGGGGTTCATTGATGCCAACACTATAAAGTGTTGAGAATTGAGTACCGCTCAAGCCGGTGCTAGGGGGCGTGAGGGATGTTGCACTTATTCATTATCCCTCATGTACAGACTCAATCAAACCGAGTCTGCAATTCTTATGTTATTTTGTTGTGATTATTGCTTCCGAGGGATCACTTTGTTTCCAGAATTTTGTACTTCACAACAGCAGATGTCAAGTGCCGTGTGGCAGCCATAAAAAGTTGCCCCGTACTTCACTTCAGTGTTGTTATATTTTCTGGTCCTTGGGGATCATTGATGCCAACACTATAAAGTGTTGAGAATTGAGTACCGCTCAAGCCGGTGCTAGGGGGCGTGAGGGATGTTGCACTTATTCATTATCCCTCCTGTACAGACTCAATCAAACCGAGTCTGCAATTCTTATGTTATTTTGTTGTGATTAATGCTTTCGAGGGATCACTTTGTTTCCAGAATTAATTACATTTTTTTGCACTACACTCAATAAGATCTATCTACCAACTTGCGTGCGATACGTCGTCTCAATATGTTGATCATTTCTGTGAAATAGTTGTAAAATCCGACTTCAAATAACCAAGTTATGGGCCTGACACAATTTTGCTTCAAGATCATACTGTGATCTTGACCTTCAAGGTAGTGTTGCGCGTGACACGTCGTCTCAATACGGTGATCATTTCTGTGAAATAGTTGTAAAATCCGACTTCAAATAACAAAGTTATGGACCGGACATGATTTTGCTGCAAGGTCATGTTGGACCTTAAACTTCAAGGTAAAGACCCAAATTTTGCGCGTGGCACGTCGTCTCAATATGGTTATCATTTCTATGGAAAAGATGTAAAATCCAACTTCAAAAAACCAAGTTATGGGCCGGACACGATTTTGCTGCAAGGCCATGCTGTGACCTAGACCTTCAAGGTAGTACCCCAATGTTGCGCGAGACACGTCGTCTCAATATGGTGATCATTTCTTTGAAATAATTGTAAAATCCGTTTTCAAATAACCAAGTTATGGGCCGGACACGATTTTTCTTCAAGTCTTGCTATGAACTTGGCCTCCAAGTAGCGACTCAAATATTGCGCGCGACACGTTGTCTCAATATGGTGATCATTTTTGTGAAATAGTTGTAAAATCCGACTTCAAATAACAAAATTATGGGCCGGTCACGAATTCGGGACGTACGTACGTACGGACGAACGTTCTAACAGGAGAGTAATAATGTGGCTACTCTATTGTTCTCTCTATTGTTCTTTTTAGCCACACAAAAGAAAATAGCAACATAAAAGCATTATGGAATGAATGACATATAGGAGAAAAAACAGTTACCTATTGTCCCTCTAACCACATAATTATTGTCCTGTGCGGACGGACGGTCGGACAACCCGTCGAATATATGCTCCCCCGAAATTTTTCGGGGAGCATAAAAACGACTTTTATGAACACATCTGCAGATGTTTCTAAATTCAAAAAAAAAATCACCACTTTCATGAACAAATGTTACGGGGTGGATGGGTAGATGGACGGTAACTTGCACTTTCAAGTCCCGTCCGTGAACATGCGCAATCAAACCGAGTCTGCAACATTTTCAACTTTGCAGCTTCAGGTGGAGGCTTTTGGGGATTCTGTTTTTTCTATTGTAAGCAAAATGAAAAAACGTTGAAAAACTATCACATTAAAGGTACTTTTAGAAGTTTTAAATTTACCCTGTATAGTCAGCAACTCTAACACATATTATATGCTGGCCTTTATTATTTGATGTAGGCAGCCAAGACACAGTTGTATACGCAACTCGTTCTCGTGTAGTATCTTCACGTATGCTTGATAATGTCACATTCTCTCCATTGCGCCCAGTTGGGATGAAGCGGAATATTGTTCTTTAGAAGTAAGTTTTAATTTTGCTTTACTTTTAAGTGAACAAAACTTCTTAGCGACTATTTGATATAATTATAGCTTGTGAACAAAACCTCTTACTTTTATGTAAATAATGTAATTCTTCAACTTGATTAGACATGACATATACTTTATTTAGATGTTGATTTAGACATTACGGATTATCAAATATCTTTACACCGTTTTATATTAGATATAGAATTTGTAAAATGTTGAATTCAAACGAAGCAATTCAAAAATTATATATGTATAGAAATGTATTGCAAATAAGGAAACAGTGCAAAATATCATATGAGAAAAAAATCTTTGTTTCTTTTACTATAATAGTTTATATTCAAAATGGTTTGTAAGATATACGTACGTGTTTTGTGGAGCCTTAGCATAGATGTCCGTAGACCATGTTGTACCAACATATACGATAAAAACATGATCGACTTTCTTAGTTGGAGAAACAAACTCTGGAGTTACAAGATTTTCAAGCACTTGCACGGTAAACTAAAGCAATTGAAAAGCATCGGAAACATTATAGGCAATCGATCTATGACATAAAAAACAGATGTAAAATGTGAAACATCTACAAAATAGAAAATGCATAATACATGTATATTTCACAATTAGCTGTTTTTCTCTATCAAAAACAAATGGAAACATTATATGCATCCGATCTATGACATAAAAAAACAGATGTTAAATGTGAAACATATACAAAATAGAATATCATATGTGATTGTTTTTTGACTAAAGCAAATATTCACAACATGTACAAAATTAAAAATAAAAAATTAAAAAAGACGTTTTTATGTAGGATTGTTGTTGTTAAACATTGTAGAAATGCTAGAAACTCTTATTTACGGTAAGCGTTAAGTTCTTCTCGTCTTACGGCTTGTCCCATTTTATTATAACGCGTCAATGACAATCAATATTACCAAAAGATACACACAATACTTAATTTCACGTTTTCGTTTGAATTTATACGATTTTATGCGTTGTAAACTGTACTTAACTTTTTTGTTTTACATGCTGTTATACCCGAATAATTATACACTACAAAGTATATGTAAGTTAAAATAGTAAAACATTTTCATATAAATATTACAAATAAAAAGCAAAGTGAAATAAATAATTTGTCCACGAAATGTAAATGTATGTTGAATTATTTCTTGTTTAGATATATTTTAAATGGTAAAAAGAGAAATTTAAATGTCTCAAAATTCTTTATACAGCTGCGTTGTTAATACCTGGGTACCAGTGGAACTGAGAGCAAAAAGTACTGGAGGGTAGATTTTAGTGCCAAACTTCATCTTCTTTGTATTAAAGTCTCGGAAAGTGATTGGTATTACTACCCAAGTTTCATCTTTATAGCCAAGAGATACGTTTGTATTAATTGTCACTTTACACACAGTTGATTTGTCCTACAAAATAAAACATGAGTATCAAATATACATCTTTCTTTGTCAGCAAGAAAACATGATACAAATGAAAATTGTGTTTAGAAATGTGCGTGTGTGTTTACAAGTGTGCGTGCTTGCCTACGTACGTATGCTCGTGCGGGTATGTGCACTTTTTTTGTTGCTGTCCCTGTTTGTTTGCTTGTTTTGTTTTTTGAATAATTTCTAAATAGTACTCTTGCAACTTTACAAAATTTACTTAATAAATATATATTATATTTCGGTTTTCGATTTTTCAGATCATTGTAAAATATCGTCGCTGATTAACATCATGACGTATTCATTCTATGTTAGCTGCAACAAAATTGAAAAAATTACAGGACGACAGACTCGGCGTGTTATCCCTTCGTCTTTTGCATTTCTTAGCAATTAAACTACTTTTTGACATAAACAACTATCATGGAATATCACCTCGTCAAGAATATTAAGTCCGGGTGTATCTGGAAATCTTCCAATTTCTGTAAATTTCGATACTTCACATCTAACAAAATCACCGTCGGGATCAATCATGGGTATCCGAATAGTTGTACTCTGATTCAGTCTTACTCTACAACGAATAAAGATATATAAGGTTATCAATACTAATACAAACAAAAACCCGGTTTGAAGAGGGTCATGCTCCCGGAATAGGTTTTGGACACAGAAAAGGACACTTCTTGTTGTTTCAGAGTTATGCCCCTGGACAAATTCAAAGTGCGATAATTCCAAATAAGGCAAGACAGAATTACTGGTTTTGCACTAGACTTCGAATCAATGCAATCTATCTACCGACTTAGTTTCTTGTTGATATACCTCTTGTAGTTTTACAGTAATGTCTTTGACAAGGTTCACAGTGTTAAATTGACAAAGGGCAATAACTCCAAACTTAGGCTATGTTTATTAAGCACTGCTCATCTACCAAATGAGATCTATCTAACTACAAAGTGTATTTTTCATATCTCTTATAGTTTGAGAGTTACGTCCTGGACAAAGTCTAAAAGTGTAAAAATAAACAATGGGCAATAACTCCAAAATTAGGCAAGGAAGAGTTGCGGTTCTTGTGCACTTTACATTTACCAAATGAAATCTATCTACTTACAAAGTGTCTTCTTCATGTCTTTTATGCTTTCAGAGCTATGTCCTGGATTATATTCAAAGTGTAAAAATGAACAAAGGGGAAAACTCAAAGATTAAGGAAGGCAGAGTTACGGATCTCTTGAACTGCACTTCTATTTAATAATAAATATCTACCTACAAAGTTTAATGTTGATATCGCGTATGGTTCCCGAGTTATATCACGGACAAAGTTCAATTTGTAAAAATGAAGGGCAAAAACTCCAAAATAAGGCAAGGCAGCGTTAGTATTCTTGTACACTGCCCATCTAACCAAGAAAATCTATCTACCTACAAAGTGTCCTGTTCGTATCTATCATACATTCAGAGCTCTGTCCTGGACAATGTTGTGTAAAAAAAAGGCAATAACTCAAAAATTGAGGCAGAGTTACAAATCTTTTGCACTGCACTTCTATTTAATGAGATCTATCTTCCTGCAAAGTTTTTTGTTGATACCTCTTATGACTTCCGAGAAATGTCCTGGACAAGATTCAAAGGTAAAAAAAAAATGAACAAAAAAGCC